TTGTGATCAGAATTGTGGGAGGAATTAAATTCATGGACTGAGGCACCACTGTATTTTGGAAAACTGTTAATTTCATACTTACCAAAAAATGCAAGCCAAGTACGTCAAAATTTTAAGCTTTTTCTTATGGGCATACTATGCCTGCTACAGAATAAAAAAATTTAAAGAAAAAAATCTTAAAATGATCTGTGGGGGGGGTACTGTGGCTTGAACCCAAGGTCTTGTGCATTTAAGCACACTCTACACCACTGAGCTCCCCCCAACCCCATGTCCTTCCTCTTCTTGCCAATTAAACATAGCACACCAAGAGAAAGTTTTCCCAATACCTCATATTCTTAAAATGAAAATTTCTTTTGTTTTCATTACTAAATATGCTGTACACCCCATCTGGTATTTTAACCTTTATTTTACTTTCTCAAAACCTTTCCCCATCCCTTCAGTGTTGAAGTGAAATTCAAAAATCAACATATCAAGCTCCATAACTTCATATAATATATCCCTCTACCAGGGATCGAACTCAGGACCTTGTGCTTGCGAAGTAGGCACAGTGCCACTGAGCCACATCCCCAGCCCCTACATGTATATCTTTTAAAACTGGTTTCTAAAAACTATTTTCAAATGTTTTTAGAATGTTTTGAGAACTTTCAAATGTGTTTGTCAACCAGGCCGGAGATTTAGCTCAGTGGCCAAGAGCCTGCTTGAGCAAGAACAAGATCCTGAGTTTGACCCCCATACCAAAAAAAAAAAAAAAAGGTTGCCACCCTACCAGTAGTCTTCCAAGTTTTTGATCTCAGGACTGTTTTTGTGTGTACTGGATACTAAGTTAATGGCCCCATGCATATTAAATGTGCCCTGTCACGGAGGATACTTCCCTGCTGGTACGTGCCTGTAACCCCAGCTACTTGGGAGGCTGAAGCAAGAGGCCGCCCAGGCAACTTAGCAAGACCCTATCTCATACTAAAATTTAACAAGGATATAGCTCAGTGGTACAATCCACAGTCTGGAAAAATAAATAAGAGATATCACAAAGAATAGTATAAAGACATGCAGTGGGAACTGCAAGTCAAAACCACAATGAGGAGCTAGGTGGTATTTGCTTAGCATACATGAGTCTCTGGGTTCAATCTCTAGCACCATAAAACCAAAACCAGGCCAGGAGGTACCACTTCATACCCCTAGGATGGCCATTTTAAAAAATGGTCAGATGCCAGGCATGGTGGCACACACCTGTAATCCCAGCACTTGGGAGGCTGAGGCAGAAGGATCACTGTAAGTTAAGACCAGCCTGGGCCACATAGTGAGTGAGTTCAAGGCAAGACTGACTACATGGTGAGATCCTGTCTCAAAAGAAGAAAAAGAAAAAGAAAAAGAATGATAGGTCAGGGAATGAGTGTAGCCCAGATAGAGCACCTACCTAGTACATGCTAAAGGTTTGGGTTCAACTCCCAACGCCATAAAAAAACAAAACAAACAAACAAAAAAACAGTAATAAGCCTAGGGATACAGAGAAATCAGAAACCCCATAAAATGCTGGTAAGAATATAAAATGGTGCAGTCTCCATGGAAAAGCCACTTAGCAGTTCCTCAAAAACTTAAACGTAGAATTAACATAAAACCAAGCACTCCATCCCTAGGTATACATTCAAGAAACCATGTAAGCCCACCACAAAATATAAATAAATAAACAAACGAACAAATAAATGTCATAGCATATTTGTTCTAACAGCCAAAAAGTAAAAGCAGCCAGGTGTGGTGGGTGGTGCATGCCTGTAATTCCAGCACTCAGAGGCTGAGGCAGGAGGATCGCTGTGAGTTCAAGACCAGCCTTGGCTACACAGCGAGTTCCAGGTCAGTCTCAAGTACGTAGTGAGACTCTGTCTCAAAAAAAAAAAAAAAAAAAAAAAAAAAAAAAAAAAAAAAAGAAAAAATAGAAGCAATCCAAATGTTCATCTACAGAAAGATAAATATTGGTATACAATGGAATATTATTGGTCACAAAAAGAAATGAAGTATTGATACATGCTACAACATGGATGAACCTTTAAAATGTTATGCTACATGGAAGACGGCAAACACAAAAGGCCATGTATTGTACAATTCCAATTCCACTGATATGAACAGGCAAATCCAAGAGATAGAAAGTAGATTATACAGGCTGTCAGGGGCTGAAGGGAGATTCATGAATGATTGCTAATAGGTATGGATTTCTTTTTGGGGTGATGAAAATACTCTAAAATTAGTAATAGTAATTGTATAAGTCAATGACTATATTTTAAAACTACTAAACTATACGCATTACAGGGTACATTTTATGGTGTATGAATTATATCCCAATAAAATTATTTTTAAAAAAGATATATAGCACTTGGGCCAGGGATTAAACTCAGTGGCACAGTGCCTGCCTTGCAAGTGGCAAGGTCCTGAGTTTGATCCCCAGTACCTTAAAAAAAAAAAAAAAAAA